TCACAATCAAAATAAAGTGACATTTCTGTTAGTATAAAATGGCAAAATCTTTTTTGTTACATCTGTAATGGAAGATTTCCTCTAAGAACAATGGCTCGTATTGATGGAGAAGAAAATGCTGGTAAACTAGAAATAGCTATTTATAGACGAAATGCTTTTAATTTGCCTTCTGATCTGAAACAGTTTTTTGTAAAACATATTTTTCGAGATATTTCACCGGTCCGATACTTTTGCCCCACCCTGTATATACATATACATATATATATTGCGGAACTAAATATTTATTACACACACATATATATATATATATATATATATATATATATATATATATATATATATGTAAAAATCAATTTTTATTTATTTCGTGAATAAATATCAATGTATCACTTATACTTATAACATACGTCTTACTACTGCGGTTGACCATATTTCACTACTTTGACCCTTTATATCTTGGGAAATATTGACTTTTGGGACTTGGTGCAATGATAACTTGTTATCAGCATGGCGAAAACTATAACATAGTGAAATTTCAGCCAATTTGACCGAAAACCATTTTCCATAGGTTTTGTGCGGGGTCCTTTATCTTGTTTTATCAATCAAAGTGTACGTGACAAGGGAACAAGAGTCTTTAAACAGAAAGATACGCACCTCTTTAGACAATTTAAACCGTCGCAGTTTATCGAGCAGATAAAAAGTAAAATGGAGTAATGTCTTGAGTTTCTGCCGAGTCTCTATGTCACAAGCCCGGCCTTTGAGACTTATATTCATACCCATCAACAATACTCTCTTCACTTCGGGCATTGTCAACTGAGTGGTGTCTCTGGAATAAAATTAAAATATTAATTTTTTGCATTCCAAAGGCGCTGATAATGAAGTTACCCAAAATCTCTTATAAAACACCACAGTGCATGTAGAGTGTGAAATCTAAATTAACTATTGCTAGCTTTAAAATTGAAACTCGTGACGATTTTTTAATTTTATTAGAAATTTTTCTAAAGAGAGACAGCATTCGGCGCTCTTACAGCACGAATAGTTAACATATAACAAATCAATTATGAGATTCTCACTTTCCAAAGCTCAACTGTAAAAAAGCTAGTCATAGGTCTTCTCTTAAGTAATATGTATTATCTACTAGTAAAAAATGGAAATAAAAAACTCAGTGACTTGTTTTTTGTGTTTGAGTTTCTATGTATTAATATATAAATAGTGGTATGCAAGTCAAAGATTACCCATGTCGAATCAAATCCACGAAAATCTATCCAAATTGAATTAAATAGTCGAAACTTAACTTTTAATTAACAATATAATTAGTAACATGACTTGTGGGAGCCAATAATTAGATAATGCAAACAATTTTAAACTACGGAAAGATAATAATCCGTCTTTCTCCATCTTGTTAGATGCTGCTTGAATGGTTCTATATCGATAATAAAAATATCGACTTGAATTTTCGCGATATAGATTTTTGATATTAAAGAGACAAATATTTCTTGACCTATTTTTTATGTATAATATATTCACTTGTAATATATTGTATGTTTTAAGATTTTTTAGATATTAAATTTTTATATACCATCAAAAACTTTGTTTAAGTAATATATTTCACATTTAATTTTATAAAATAATGTATAGAAGATTCAATTCAATCATTCGAATTTATATATTAGCTGATGAATATTCTGAATCTATAAATATGTTTTATAAATCAATGTTTTCAGACGTTGCTCTCTTAACAGACACATGCTTTTTCAACATCCTAATATAACTATTGTAATTTCTTTCTTTTATAAACTTCTATTTCTATAATAAATTTCCTACTGTTCTTCTTTTATTTCTTGTATGTCAAAAGGTACAATTTTCAAAGGTCAAAAGGTAAATAAATGAAATTAAATGTGAAATAAGAAATAATATTTGAATATATGATAACACATAACCGAATATTTTTCTGAACTTGCAAAGTACGTGGTGTGAATCAATCTTCCATGTCAAACTATTCTAAATACCAATAATTGATATTAGAACTCTATTGGATCTAATTCCCACACAGCACAAATGTTCAATGTTCTAACGTTCTAAGAATATTTGAATATTCTTAGAACGTTCTTAGAATATCTAGTGAACATTTGTGCTATATGGATTATTTAATTCTGCATTAACTTATTTCTTTAAAAACCCAGCGAATAGGGATATTTAAATATAACTTTCTCATTAGCGAAAAATATGATTTTCCAAGATTCACAATCTGATCTGTAGATTTATACTTAAATTTCTGCAATTCGAAATTTTCGAATAATTCGAATCAAATCGAACTTTACTTGACTCGATTCTAATAGTTCACATATCTCTAGTAAATAAGGGTACCCATAAATGATCAAGCAACAAATGATTACAAGATTTTCTTAATTTTAACAGTTTCTACTTGATCTGTGCATAAACAGTATTTCCTTAGTGTGCTAAGAAAGTGAATAAAACATTCAACTTATTATATTATCCCACACATAGAAAAATATTACTTGTTTCAGATATTTCATAAGTTTATACATCCGCAAATCTATTACGAGTTTTTCATCATAAACATTAAATTTATTCAAAATATATTCTGAATCCTAACAAGCCTTATATTTCAATTAAGAATATTAAATTAAAACAAAAATTCGGTTTATTTACCACATCAAGTCGAACTAACTTTTTCTTTTGTAATATGTTTCCAGATATTCTTGTGAAAAGAATAATTCTTCTTCTGATTACATGATAACGAGTTTTTTTGGAATTTGTGGTGGATATATTATAAGATTATTATCAAGAAAATATTTTGTTGCAGATAAACATTACTTAATTAAAAGGAGGAAAGTAAATTATATAATCGCTTTTCTTAATTCTTTGATTTGATTTGATATGAGAAATCTTAACAGTAGACTGCTATTTTTCTATATGCAGAGATACACAAACAAAAATGCTGAGATGCATAGTATGTAAATATTTTATATATACTATTGTAACAGCACAATATGTTTAAAATATCTTATTTTATAAAAAAATACCCATTTATTACGCCGAAATTTTTTAATCGAACTATTTACTTTATTACTACAATTTCGAATTAATTGCATACCCATTTCAGTAAAATAAATAGCAACGGTTTAATAAATGTTCACGGTATTAAATGATTTCTGTTATATACTGATAAAATTCTTGTTCTATGAGGATGCATCTTTACATACTTGTGCAACAATTTTTAATTCTCAATTCAGTCAATAAGCAGATAATATATCGAAATATATCTACTGGGACTGACTAAAAAATAAAAGCTCTGCCTTAGAGACTTTTAAATGTTTAATTTTGAAATACTTGACTACTTATGGATATCTCTGATATATAATAAATCGCAATGCAGAATCAAAATTGCGATCGATAGACTTACTCTTGTTGCTTGCGCCCGCTGTACTGGTCGCTAATATGAATGTAATCTATATAAGACGCAAACTTTGAAAAGACATGTTGAACCCTTGTGTCTATGATAGCCGATGCCGCTTCTGCGATCTCGGACATCACGCAAAAGCCGGATGGAAGACCGAACTTGTCTGCGGGCCGTTTCTCTGGGCAATACACACTAATGTCAGCCATATCGCGCGCCAGGTGCATCGCAGTCCGCTTCGAAGCGATAGCCAGTACGAAATTATCCGTCTCCTCTTTCGAAATCTCCACGTGTATGTGAGCTTGATCGTTTTGTGGGCGTATCAATTGAGCTAATACAGCAACTAGATCTTGTCGTTTGATTAATTTCAGCTCGACGAGCATCGAATCACATCCAACACGTCCAGAACAATACAAACTGTACTGGGAACAGCTCTCTCTCATCAAGCTGTTCGCGTTGTCCTCTGCGTTTGTATCGTCGCTCGATCTGTCTGTATGACCAATCAGAGAGAAATTCTCAACCAACACCTGCTGCTGATCCGTCAGCCATTGCTCAGCTATTCTAGCATTTTTGGAACGTCCCACCATGTAATTGATAAAATACACTAGCAGTCCGGTGACCATCAGCATCTCTAAATAAAAGCTGTCCCATCTGGCCCGCAGATGCAATGGAACTTTTGTAATAGTTAATGTGGAAGGCTCATCAGTTTTGGGTCCAGTGTTACCATTCGTAACATCCAGTCCCTCAAACTCTTCCTCATCTTGAAAGTGATCGAATTCACTGTCTCCATCTGCAGTCAGGATGTCATCCTCCTCAAAGTCCTGATTCAGATTGTTCTTCTGAGCTGAATCCACTATACGTTCATTATGTGCACTCAGCTTCTCCTCTTCAAAGTCTTCGAATTCTGCGAATTCATTGTCTTCTGGCATTTCCTCCTGGAAATGCGCTGTGACCCATAGATTAGTAGCGACTAGTATAATATGCACTATCACAATCCACAATTTCATGTTACCTGAAACAACAAAAAACAAACTCTATATAGTTATATATATATATATATATATATATATATATATATATATATATATATATATA